AGAATTGTCTGTTCATATCCTTTGCTCACTCTTTGATAGGATTGTTTTTTTTCTTATAAATTTGTTTAAGTTCCTTGTAGATTCTGTATATTAAACCTTCACAATGAAGAGATTGCAAAAAATTTCTCCCAATCTGTAGGTTGCCTGTTCACTCTGATGATCGTTTCTTTTGCTGAGCAGAAACTCTTTAGTTTAATTCGATCCCATTTGTCAATCTTGGCTTCTGTTGCAAATTGCTTTTGGAGTTTTTGTCATGAAGTCTTTTCAATGGTATTGCTCATGTTTTCTTCTAGGGTTTTTATGGTTTTGGGTTTTACATTTAAGTATTTAATCTATCTTGAGTTAATTTTTGTATAAGAAAGGGGTCCAGTTTCAATTTTCTGCATATGGCTAGCCACTTTTCACAGCATAATTTATTAAATAGGGAATCCTTTCCCTAATTATTGATTTTGTCAGGGTTGTGGAAGATCAGATGGGTGTAGATGTGTGGTGTTATTTCTGAGGTTTCCATCTGTTACGTTGGCTTATGTATCTGTTTTGGTACCAGTGCCATGCTATTTTGATTATTGTAACCTTGTAGTATAGTTTGAAGTCAGATAGCGTGATGCCTCCAGCTTTGTTGTTTTTGCTTAGGATTGTCTTGGCTGTACAGGCTCTTTTTTGGTTCCATATGAAATTTTAAGTAGTTTCTTCTAATTCTGTGGAGAAAGTCAATGGTAGTTTGATGGAAATAGCATTGAATCTATGAATTACTCTTGGCAGTATGAATATTTTCATGATATTGATTCTTCCTATCCATGAGGATGGAATATTTATACATTTGTGGGTGTCCTCTCTTATTTCCTTGAGCAGTGGTTTGCAGTTCTCCTTGATGAGGTCCTTCACATCCCTTATTAGCTCTATTTCTAGGTATTTTATTCTCTTTGTAGAAATTGTGAATGGGAGTTAATTTATGATTTGGCTGTCTGCTTGTCTGTTGTTGGTATATAGGAATGCTTATAATTTTTGCATATTGATTTTGTATCCTGAGATTTTGCTTAAGTTGCTTATCAGTTTAAGGAGCTTTTGGGCTGAGACGATGGGTTTTCTAAATATAGAATCATGTCATCTGCAAACAGAGGCAATTTGATTTCCTCTCTTGCTATTCGAATACCTTGTTTTCTTTCTCTTGCCTGATTGCCTTGGCCAGAACTTCCAATACTGTGTTTGAAGAGGGGTGATGAGAGAGGGCATCCTTGTCTTATGCCAGTTTTCAGAGGAAATGTTTTCAGTTTTGCCCATTCAGTATGATATTGGCTGTGGGTTTGTCATAAATAGCTCTTATTATTTTGAGATATATTTCATCAATACCTAGTTTATTGACAGTTTTTAACATGCAGGGCTGTTGAATTTGGTCAAAGGCCTTTTCTGCCTCTATTGAGATAATCATGTGGTTTTTGTCATTGGTTCTGTTTATGTGATGGATTATGTTTATTGATTTGCTATGTTGAACCAGCCTTGCATCCTAGGGATGAAGCCAACTTGATTACGGTGGATAAGCTTTTTGATGTGCTACTGGATTAGATTTACCAATGTTTTATTGCAGATTTTCACACTGATGTTCATCAGGGTTATTGGCCTGAAGTTGTGTGTGTATGTGTGTGTGTGTGTGTGTGTATCTGCCGGATTTTGTTATCAGGATGATGCTGGCCTTATAAAATGAGTTAGGGAGCAGTCCCCTTTTTCAGTTGTTTAGAATAGTTTTAGTAGGAATGGTACCAGCTCCTCTTGGTATCTCTGGTAAAATTCAGCTGTGAATCCATGTGGTCCTAGGCTTTTTTCGGTTGGTAGGTCATTCACTGCCTCAATTTCAGAACTTGTTATTGATCTATTCAAAAATTTGACTTTTTCCTGTTTCAGTCTTGGGAGGATGTATGTGTCCAGAAATGTATCCATTTCTTCTAGATTTTCTAGTTTATTTGCATAGAAGTGTTCTTCTTTTGGCTTTTCTAAATCTTTTGCATTTCCATAAAAATTTTAAATCTGCTTGTTAGTTTCTATAAAAAAATGTCTTTCATTTATGGATTTTGACTGTATCAATTTGGGGAGAATAGACACGTGAGCAACCTGGAGTCTTCCAGTACAAGGTATGTATCTCCATTTATTTAGATTTTTAAAAACTTATCTGAAAAATGAGGTCTCATTAAGTAAATTTTCTTCAATTTATTTCCAATAATTTTATAAATTTTTAAAGTGAAAATGATTTTATACTTTTGTATTTCCATTGTTTGTTGCTAATGTCTTTCTTTTATATCATACAGTCTTGCTAAATTCACTTATTAATTATAGTAAGTTTTTAGAGATATCTTAGCATTTTTAATATATTTGATGATATCATCTGCAACAAAAGAGAGTTGTATTTTCTTCCTTCTTAACATTACACTTTAATTTCTTTTTCCTGCATATTGCACTGGCTAGCATCTTCAGTACAATGTTGAATAGAAGTGCTTATAGCAATTATTTGTTGTCAGTCTTGGGGGAGAAAGCATTCAATATTACACTGTTAAGTATGATATTTGTGATAGGTTCTTCACAGGTGATCTTATCAGTTTGAAGAAGTTCTCTTTTATTTCTTGTTTGCTGAGAGTTTAAAAAAAAGTCAGATGCTTTTGTCTCCTGATTTATTGAGATGATCATAAAGTTTTTCTCCTTTATGTTATCATATGATTAATTAAATTAATTGCTTTTCTAATTATTACCAAGCTAACCTGGCATTCCTGAGATAAATTTCACTTGGTCATGGTGTAGGTATTAGTTTGATATATTGTGAGATTTGAGTTCCTACTATTTTTAAAGGATTTCTTTTGGCATCTGCGTAAATGCGATTTATTGGCTCGTAATTTTATTTTCTTCTAATGTCTTTGTCAGATTTTGGTATCAGGGTTACCCTGGCATTCTGAAATGATTTGGAAAGTTCCTTCCTTTCTCTATTTTCTAAAAGAGTTTGTATGCGATTTTTTTTCCTCCCTAATTTACAAGTAAAACTTTATGGGTTGGTAGCTGGATGCTTTCAGGATTTTCTCCTTATGTGTGAGTTTCAGCAGTTTGACTGTGATGTGTCTATGTGAGGTTTTTCTTGTCTTTATTTTTCTTGTGATTTGCTGAGCCTCTTGAATCTAGAAGCTGAAGTTCTTAATAAAATTTGGGAAATTTTGACTGTGATTTTTCTGATAGTTTATCTTCCCTATTACTCCTCTCTTCCTCTTCTAGGACTCCAATTGCATATATGTTAGACAATATGTTGATATTGTCTCATAGATCCTTGAAGCTCTGTTTTTTTTTTTTTTAATATCTTTTTTTGGCCCCAGATTTGAGAGTAATTTCTACACAGACTTGGAGCTTCTTTTCTATACGGCTTCTTAGATTCTGGTCTATCTACCTTCAATTTCCAGTTGTTCTTATAGCCCCAAACAGTTTCCTGTCATATTTTAACCCATTAAGACTGTGCCTTTCTGATCGAGTTTCAGCCACTTCCGCCATAGAGACTGGGTAGTGCCCTTAATGGAAAAACTATAGAAACTTAGAATACCTTTCAGTTTTTGCCTGTTCTTCATTGCTGTCCAATGCCTTCAAGTAATTCTCTTTTTTTAACTGTTGTGCATATATTAAAATTATTACCTAGAGGAGGATCAATATAGTACAATCTATTTTATCATTATTAGAACTAGAACTCTGCCTCCTGTATTTATTTATTTATTATTTATTTATTTTTTGAGATAGAGTCTCGTTGTGTCACCCAGGCTGGAGTGCAGTGGCATGATCTCAACTCACTGCAACCTCCGCCTCCCAGGTTCAAGCAATTCTTGTGCCTCAGTCTCCCTAGTAACTGGGACTATGGGCAGGCATCACCACACCAGGCGAATTTTTGTGTTTTTAGTAAAGATGGGGTTTCACCATATTGCTCAGGCTGGTCTCGAACTCCTGGCCTCAAGTGATCCACCTGCCTCAGCCTCCCAAAGTGTTGGGATTACAGGTGTGAGCTATTAGGCCCAACCCTGTATTCTTAAACTTAGTTAATTTCACCATTCACTCTGTTTTCCAATTTAGAGACTCCACTAACCCCAACTCAAAATAACTAGTCATTAGATCCTAACAATTCTTTCTGAGGTATGCTTCCTGAATGCATTGCCACCTAACTTTCTTAGAGTCACGGTTTGAGTTGTGGTTCTCATTTAAATGGTTTTCCTTGCCCCTTAGCCTCAGTCATTTCCTATACTGCCTCAGATCTCATCCTAAAAAAAAAAAAATTCCTTATTATATTACTCCTTTGTTTTATGACCCCTCTAGGGTTCCTTCGAGATTAAATCTTCTTGCTTTGGTTTATAAAGTCCCTCCCAATCTAATGTATATCCTGATGTTGTTCCATGTAGAACTAATGCTAGATGTTAGACTCTCTGTGCTCCTTAGACACATCAGAACATTCCGTGTTTTTGTAATTTTTGTACTTCGTATCCTGCCTATTTGGATCCCCCATTTTCATTTGGCTTTTCAAGATGTAATTTTAAAGTCCATTCCACATACTATCTCTTCCCTGGTCTTCTTAGCTAGGTTACCTCTGTCTTCAACCTCTCTCTACGTTTTCTTACTGTACTTGTAAGTTTCCGTGTTGACTCATCTATCTATCTATCTATCTATCTATCTATCTATCTATCTATCTGTCTATCATCTATTTATCTCTGTCTACTTACCATCTATATAATTTCTGATTTCTCAGGGGATTCTAATCTCCTTGGTCAAAGCATTATGTCTTTTCCACTGTGTCTTTTTGGTATCCATAGCATTTAGCAAGCGTTGTATATCTGGTGTAGATTCTTGGTATATATTTTCTTGATGACAATATTACAAAGAATATTTCTCAGCAATGACACTCAAAGCAGTGGTTTTACATATAGAAATTAAATGGCCACAGGCATGAAAGGAGAAATGAATCAGCCAGTTCATGACTATTTTTATTTCTTTAGGAACATCTGCTCCCTCATCAGGCATCCCTACAGAGTTCTGCAGGAACGGTGGAACTTGGGAAAATGGCAGATGTGTTTGCACAGAAGAGTGGAAAGGACTGAGATGTACAATGGGTAAATTACTTGGGATAATGCTAAGGTGTAAGGTTGATGTCACTCTTGTGTTAATAAGAATAGCAATAAAGCTTCTAGAAGTTTCAGTGAATGGTTACAGAAATAATGGGCATAATGATGATGGCTTTAAGATGTGTTTATCAGCTCAATAATAAAAGCTGAGTTTTCTTCTTGGGCAGTTTATTCAATGCACCTTATCTGTTTCCTATTACATTTTTCTGCAAACTCACGATTGTGTTTCCTTCTGGCTGCAGTGACTAATCCAGGGCAATGAATGATATGATTCTCTCAGATCCTTTCTTTCTTTTTTTCTTTTTGAGACGGAGTTTCACTCTTGTTACCCAGGCTGGAGTGCAATGGCGCGATCTCGGCTCACCGCAACCTCCGCCTCCTGGGTTCAGGCAATTCTCCTGCCTCAGCCTCCTGAGTAGCTGGGACTGCAGGCATGCACCACCACGCCCAGCTAATTTTTTGTATTTTTAGTAGAGATGGGGTTTCACCATGTTGACCAGGATGGTCTCGATCTCTTGACCTCGTGATCCACCCACCTCAGCCTCCCAAAGTGCTGGGATTACAGGCATGAGCCCCCACGCCCGGCCTCTCTCAGATCCTTTCAATTGGTAATAAGCCATATTACTCCATTTCAAATATCCCTACTCTCATATATTTAACTTTTCTGAAATCAAGATGCATCTTCCTAAGTATATACTTACATTAAATTTTTATCTTTTCTTCCTTTACCTTGAAGAGTTATTATTAAGGTAGTGGTTTGATTTCAATCAGTTGTGCCTCAGAATCAAAGTTCAAGGCCATTTTTAAATCTGAGGTGTGCTTTCCAACACTGTACACTTCAGGCTGTCTGCTTAGAGTCCAGAGCCCTAGATACCCACTGCTATCAGTTATTATATTCCTACCGCTCGCTGTATCCCACAGACCCCATGAATTTGGCCTTTCTGTTTTGCCCACATCCTCATGATGCCTTTGGCCGCTGTAGACGCTATATTTTTAGTTTTGAAGATTTCCCCTGATCTGTTACAGTATCCTACCTCACTTCCCATCTCTACCCGGGTTTATATTGTGCACCTTTTAACTGGAACCTGTTATCTAACATACTAGTCATTCTAATGTCAATAACTTAACCATATAGGAAAGTACAGACGTTCCTCACAGGCCGGTGGGTTCCATACGCCTTCTATTACCTTTCAAATTTCACTGCATAGGTTCTGACCTTTGACTTTTAACTGGTTTCAATTTCCTAAAGTATGATTTTTAATAAGATTTTTTTCCCCTCTTCCTGGCAGCTAATTTTTGTGAAAATAGTACCTATATGAATTTTACTTTCGCCAGAATCCCAGTGGGCAGATATGGACCGTCCTTGGAAACATGTGACAAAAGTACTCCAAACGGTATGTGTTTTCCCAAACGTCTACTCTGTTGATTTATTTATTTATTTATTTATTTATTTATTTATTTATTTATTTATTTTCAGACGGAGTCTCACTCTTGTTACCCAGGCTGGAGTGCAATGGCGCGATCTCGGCTCACCGCAACCTCCGCCTCCCGGGTTCAGGCAATTCTCCTGCCTCAGCCTCCTGAGGAGCTGGGATTACAGGCACGCGCCACCACTGCCCAGCTAATTTTTTGTATTTTTAGTAGAGACGGGGTTTCACCATATTGACAAGGATGGTCTCGATCTCTTGACCTCGTGATCCACCCGCCTCGGCCTCCCAAAGTGCTGGGATGACAGGCGTGAGCCACCGCGCCCGGCCCGTCTACTCTGTTTAAACATAAGAATTACTGTGCTGAGTCACACCTCTCGCACCTCCAACTAGTGTTAGGTCCTTGAAGGGCAACAGGAAAGCTTTTGTGGAAGGACTTGACTCCCTTTCACGATGCTAATGTTCAAAACTTAAGATAGTATCTGATAAAACCTTACATTTTGGCCAGGCGCGGTGGCTCAAGCCTGTAATCCCAGCACTTTGGGAGGCCGAGGCGGGTGGATCACGAGGTCAAGAGATCGAGACCATCCTGGTCAACATGGTGAAACCCCGTCTCTACTAAAAATACAAAAAATTAGCTGGGCGTGGTGGCGCGTGCCTGTAATCCCAGCTACTCAGGAGGCTGAGGCAGGAGAATTGCCTGAACCCAGGAGGCGGAGGTTGCGGTGAGCCGAGATCGCGCCATTGCACTCCAGCCTGGGTAACAAGAGCGAAACTCCGTCTCAAAAAAAAAAAAAAAAAAAAAAGGAAAAGAAAAGAATATAGCTAATTCTAGATCATTGACAAAAATGTTAGATAAAACTACTGCCTGCAATGGTCCTGAAGAGAATGTGACATTTTATTTAGATATTTATTTTTGTGTGTGTCAAGAGAACTCTGAAGCACTAAAAAAATTACATAAACTGCTCTTTTTAATATGCTTTTTATCTTATTATTATGAGAAATTATCCAGATCTGTATTTGATTTGTGGAGTTCAAATTGCTTCTGCTCATATATATTATTGTGTTACTTTATTCTTGCATTGCTCTAAAGAAATATCTGAAATACCATATCAGTCATGCTTACTCAAGTATTCATGATCCTACTCTCTCCATAAGTCCTCTTGAATTTTTTACTGAGAGTATAAAAGGGGCTTCAACCATGTTGATATTTACTATATATACTATATTATACTATACTATACTATTCTTTATGCTACTGGTATCTATTGTTTTAATTTTACATGTTTTATATGTTCTAAATATTTCATAATGGTTTATAAAACAGATACAACTTAGAAGATAGAGCTGTGCTACTGAATTAGGAAGAGTAAAAGTGTCAGTAACACATCCATGAAAAGTCATCTCTCTCGTTTAATATATGTGAATTCTTTGGGACAAGAAACTCAATGTCTTTTATTTTGTTATTAATTTTTCTTTTCTGAGCATCTATTATGAAAACATGTTTATTAATTTTTCTTTTCTGAGCACCTCAAATTTCAGATTAAGCCTATAATTTTACAGATTTAGTTTCTAACTGTTGGTAATTTTGCTTTTTGTTTTATATTAGTAATTACTTCTAACTACTTATATACCAAATGATCAAAATACTTCTCAATGATTTTGGGGATATTTACATTTTAGGTAACATTGAGGAAAAGATGGATTTAACATGTGCCCACTTAAAAGTTATTTATAGCCTATAAATATGTTAGAGATTTTCATTATGTTATGATGTAGAGGTGAAGTCATATAAATTAAGAGTGACTCCAACTTTGTGGTTTACATGTTATTGAAGCAATCTCTAATTTCGGTGTTTCTAGTTGTCCCGAGAAGGAGCTGCCCAAAGCTGGCCCTGAGGAAAAATCTATCTTTTGGTCAGCTGTCCCTCTAATTACGATTTTTTTTTTCTATGGCAACTACTTAAGAATTAACTATAGGAAGGCGGTGAGGTAGGAAGACTTGAGTGGTAATCCTAAGAAATAAAGCAAATGACCCAGCAAATATTTATTGAGAGGCAAGCAAACATCAAATACATACAATAGAATATAATAGAACTCTTCACCTTTCAGCTGTTATCCACATTTGCATAAAGCAGTCAAGATCAACATATAATTCAACATCTATTAGGAATTATTCATATTGTTTCTAGTCTCTCAGCCTAGTATTCTCTCATCATATCCACTTCAAAGCTATGATGTCCCTAATTGCTTGAAAGACAAATCTTACTGGAAGACATCAAAGAAAGGAAATAGTCAACCTGTCTTTGGAACTCTGTTTAAAAATCAAGACCATCAGTGGTATCTGGCTAAAAATAATAGGCAATATGTTTTTAATCAATAACTTTTAATAAAAATTAATTATTGCCTTAAAATAATAGGTGACGATTTTAATAAATAGTTATTTTTAATAAAAATTTTTCTTTTTATTAAAGCGGGCAATCCAAGGGCAGTCCGGCTGTGCAGTCTCTCTCAATATGGAAACATAGAATTACAAAATGTGACAATAGGAAATTGCAGTGAAACTCTGCAAACCCTGGAGATGAAGGTATGCCGTAACACTCACTGATGGGTAACTGCGAGAAGTTCTGATTCCGTGCAAAGTTTCTGTTCTTCAGCTACTCAATGGTCAAATCAATGCTTTTAAAACTCTCAAATTAGAAATAACAAAAACTAGTAAATCAAGCCACTCTTCTTTATTTATTTTTATTTGTTTATTTTTTTGAGACGGAGTTTGCTTGTGTCACCCAGGCTGGAGTGCAGTTGCACGATCTCGGCTCACCGCAACCTCAGCCTCCCAGGTTGAAGTGATCCTCCTGCCTCAGCCTCCTGAGTAGCTGGGATCACAGGCACGTGCCACCATGCCCAGCTCATTTTTGTATTTTTAGTAGAGACGGGGTTTCACCATGTTGACCAGGCTGGTCTCGAACTCCTAACCACAGGTGATCCACCCACCTTGGCCTCCCAAAGTGGTGGGATTACAGGTGTGAGCCACTGCACCCAGCCGCCACTCTCATTTTTGAAAGTTGACATCTGTTTGTGAAAAAGGACAGCTGGTTCAGCAAATTTCAGCAAACGATAATCAATAGTACATTTCAAATGGCTTCATCTTTGTAGACCGGTGAAGTTTTGACTGGGTATAGATCCCTGACATTGGAGACCAGAGGAAAACCTTTAGACGTCATAACTGGATCAGCACGAAGAGAAAGAAACTATAACCAGATCCTTTGAAAGAGGACACTCCAAACCTGATGTGGGTCTCAGGGTTGTATCCTTAAGCAGGTGAAATGGAAAGTTCATCTAACTAGATATTTTTTCATGAAGATTAAATTATTTTGACCAAAGTTGTACCCAAATGCACAAGCCTGGAAGAGCTAACATTTGGGGACAAGCGAGGAGAGGAAGGGAAACCAACTTTTATGTACAGCCTTTCATGTGCTGGGCAGGTCGCATATGTTACCACATTTAATCTTTATAAAATCACTGTGAGGTGAAAGTTAATTCCATGTTATAAATAATTATAGCTAATAACATTTACTGATTGTTGAGCACCTACTGCATGCCAAATATTGTGGCAATTATTTAATATATTTATTAGTTTATCATGTTTAATTCTTATAACACCATAGACAGGTATTAATGTACCCATTTTATAGATAACGAAAACGTTGTTCGGAGAGGCAAACCATTTTGACTAGTAACTACAGCCAAAAAGTGAAGGAGCTGTTCTTTATTTTAAAGTTCACATACTTTGGGAGGCCAAGGCGGGTGGATCACGAGGTCAAGAGATTGAGACCATCCTGGTCAACATGGTGAAACCCCATATCTACTAAAAATACAAAAAATTAGCTGGGCATAGTGGCACACACTTGTAGTCCCAGCTACTCAGGAGGCTGAGGCAGGAGAATCGCTTGAACTCAGTTGGCGGAGGTTGGGGTGAGCCGAGATTGCGCCATTGCACTCCAGCCTGGGTAACAAGAGCGAAACTCCGTCTCAAAAAAAAAAAAATAAAAAAGTCCACATACCTTGGCTCCCTAATCACAGGTGGGCAGGGTAGGGGTGGGGTGGGGATGGGAGCTGGAGAGTCGAGGTGGCTGCCAGCCACACGCGTTGTGCCAAACCATAGACTGAGGAAAGATGCTACATTTGGAATCTCACAAACCAGTGTTTGGTTCTTAGCTCTGCCATTTCTAAGCTGTGTGAAACTTGATCGAGCTCCCTAATTTTTCTTGAAGGTGCACAACTCATGAAGTTGTTTTGCTTATTAAATGTAATAACACCTCTAAACATCTTAGCAGAGTGCCTAGCAGGTAGTGAGGGTCTGGCTATTGAATTGGAGTTATTTGTTTCTGTCTACTGATTGGATATTGTTTCTGATGCTTACCCATCAGAAATAGCCTGTAACATTGGTATAATTTGTGAAATGATGCTGCCATCTAGTGAAATCCAAGCCCCACCCCCATACATGCACACATACGTGGACACCCGTCTTCACTCATGACAATATGGATTGGCACGTTTTAGCCTCACAACATAGAGCCCTGGGGCTAACTGGTACCTAGAGAGGGTGTCTCAGCTGGTGCTTCTCAAACTACCTGTGCTGAAAAGCCAGTTAAAAGATTTTTGAAGCCATTGCCCACCAATAATTTTGTGAAATACAATAAACGTGAATTACTAGAAAAATGAAATGAAAAAGATGTGTAAAATGCAAACCAAAATTTTAGAACTATTATAGTCAACAGCATAAAATTGCTTTATACGTTTCTGACCAATTATTTTCAGTTTCCCTGCTTCTCTCTCTACGACCTTTGCAGCACACAGCTGACAGCACAGGTCCGTGGATACGCTCTAGCAGCTCCCATCTAGCTAAGGCAGCCCCTTCATCGATCCTGTCAAATGGGAAAGAGGGGGGAAACCACTGGTCTGCATGTACTTTGTCCTTTACTGCAAGGAAATCTGCAAATGTGGAAAACGGAGCGGACGTGATGCTCAGGAGATTGAGGCTCAGCTAAATCCCAGCTCATTTACCTGCAGTTGCTTACGAAGTGTTTGGACATAGTTGTGTAAAGCTAGAGTTTTTTTTTTTTTTTTTTTCTGATTTTTTTAAACAGGTAGGGGAAGCGGGAGCATCACTTAATAACATTTCTTCTGAAGTCCAGATATTAACATCGAATGCCAGTACGTTAACTTCCGAGAACATCAGTTAGTGCTACACAAGTGATTGGACAGATCTTCAACACATCCAGAAATGCTTCACCAGAGGTAAAACTCACAGAGCTTTTTTTTTTTTTAAGATGGGGTGTTGGGAAGGAAAGCTGTCCTGAACTCCACTCCTTATTCCATGATATGGATTTGGGCATGGCTTAGGTTGCTTACAGGCCTTTTGCACAGCACTCCTTCTGAGAAATGCTCGAAAGAAATAAAAAAGGGCCTCTTGTCCAATTATTTTCCTTTAGTATATTCAAAATGATCATTATTAATATTATTATTATTATTTGCGACAGAGTCTTGTTCTGCCACCCAGGCTGGAGGGCAGTGGCACGAGTCTCAGGTCACTGCCACCTCTGCTTCCTGGGTTAAAGGGTTCAAGTGATTCTCAGGTCTCAGTCTCCCAAGCATCTGGGACTACAGGCACACACCACCACACCTGGCTGTCATGCTCAGTCTTTGAGGAAGTTCTGGAATGCATAAGTCAACTTTACCTTATGAATATGTTTACCAACTACATTTGACGTCACCATCCCTAGTGTGTTTCGAGTAAATAGTGTTTCAAGAAGTTTCTTTGGAACAGGTGATTTTTAAACTGTGATCCATTTCTATTAAGCATATTTAAATTTTAGTCTTGGTTTTCTGAAAACTTTAAGCCTAGTTTACATTCCTGATATTTTAACCTGTTAAAGCTTGGCACTTGAAAACAAGTACACTCAATATTTACTAATTGGTAACGCTGGACAGTGGTCAATCAGGGCTATAAACCACCAATATGGACTGACCCTGTGTAGAAGTTGAATATCAGCATGCCGTGAAAATAGCATGCTGATATTGAAAGGAAAATATAAACATAAAAATATAAAACTTGAAAGAAAACCTACTCCTTCTCCCATTCCCTTTAAATGTCTTGTTTCAGAAAAAAAAAAATTGAAAAGTCTTTTTCCTACTGAAAAGTAGGTGGGATTCAAGTCACGAGTTAATAAAAATGGAATCGAAAGACGCAACATTGACCTCCAAATGTAGAATTAATGGAGGGATTAACTAATGGGCAGAAGTCCTTCAACACTCCCAAAGAGGGCAGTGAAATAGTAATCAAACGCCAAGAGATCATCACTCTGACACACTCCTGAGTTACTGATTGTAAGAAAACGAGAATTAATTTTACTAAGTTTAATAGTTACACTAAGTCTAACAGTTACACTAAGTATAACTTAGTTATGCTAAGTGTTGCGAGCTGTAATTTTTAACCACCAGACTACAACACCCTTCTTATTTTGTTTCTGCTTTTGTATCCAACCATTTGATTTTGCGTTCTTGGATTCTGTGAAAGATCTTGCTATGAGCTTGAATTCAGAGACTTAGACTTCCTGATTAACTACCTTAATGTATATTTTCACTTTGGCTTATCTTGATTCTCTCTGCCATCTTATGCGGAACAAAACACAAAGCTTTAATTTTGTAAAATGCCTGCCTCTATGTTATCATGTCATTGATGCCACTTGGTACTATAATGATTCATGATAATAATGGTGGTGGACGATACTGTATGACGTATGCTTCTCTGATGATCAGTATCTTCTTCTTGGCAGGCAAAGAAAGTTGCTGTAGTAACGGTGAGTCAACTCCTAGACGCCAGTGAAGAGGCTTTTCAAAGTGCGGTTGCTGCTGATAATGATGATCCCCTTACAACGTAAGCACAAATTCAATTTGGAAAGAAGACTTGACTAAGTGCCGTTTACTTTTCTGGGATAAAGTATGAACAGAGATGTCTTTATTTCTCTCATGGATGCAATAACTGGCTGATTCCTCTGGGATGCAGACCACAGCCATGACTTCCCACTTGATCTTCAGTTACTAGATGGAGTGGTATATGTTACCTCCTGTATCCAGGGGTGCTGGCTGTGGCCTGGGAGATAGAGAGTAACTGGGGTGATTTAGACTAGAACTTGTTTTTCTCATCTTAGTTTAACACGGCCAAAGGGCAACTTACATGCATGGCAAGACCTCTTCCAACTTCTTTTGCAACGTGTAGAGCTGCAGAGAACAGCTCACTTTGCAGGACACACTGCCCTCCCCCAAGCTGCACCTCACGTCTCTCTTTCCAAGACCCTGGTGTGTTTTGATTATTTTCCTTAGCTTTGCCAGTCATGTCTTCTTGACCTCTTCTTGGAACTCGTGATAGGGGTGCCCCATTTAGTGGCCCGCCCCGCTCAACCCCTTATGGGAGGGAACATGTAGGTGAGCAAGTGTGGGAACCAGCCAGTTGCTTCCCCACTGGCAGGAGCAGGCTCCGTGCAGGTCCCACAGCAGCGTCCAGCTGGGGTGTCTGCAACCCCAAGGCCCCAGAGGGCATGTTACAATGCTCTCTTCTGTCCACCATCCACGGACGGCAGTGTGTTATCAGTCCAGATCACATGGGGTGGCTGCCCTCTGCCAGTGAGGCCAAAGGGCCAGTGTGACAGCCTTTTTGGGTCCCCGCACTTGCTGGGTCCTGAATTATTGTCCAGTGCCCAAGAAGAATGAGGTCACGTGGCCAAATTGAAGGATGCTGAATGCAGAGAAATTTCATTAAACTCAAGTAAGCATACAGACTCATTGTAGAAACAAGAAAATAGGTAGCTTAGCAAAATGTAAAAAATTATCTTATTAGCCTATTTGTGTATATTCCAGGTTTTTTTCTTTTGTTTCTCTCTCTGTGTTTGTGTGTCTGTCTGTATGTATATGTATATTACATACTATATTGATTCATAACTTGCTTTTGTCAATACCTTACAAACAACTTCTTCATAAACATCTTCTATATAAATATGTATACACCTACATCATACTTTTAGATTACTATGTTATATGAGTAAACTTTTATTGAAACAGTTCTTTGCTCTTCAGCCGGATATTTACATTCCTGGAAGTCTTTCAATGCTCTAAGTAATCAGCATTCTGGTACATAATCTTTATCTACATGACTCATTATTTCCTCAGGAGAAATTCTCAGAAGGAGTTCTTAGTTTTCTAATGATTACAAGTAGTACCTACTTAGCGTTGAAATTTGAAAGTAGAAAAAGCACAAAGGCACAAAACAGAGCATTCGAAAGAGTGTGATTCTGAGAGGTGGTGGTAGAGGTTGAATGAACAGTTTTACTGGCATCCTTTGTGACTTCAGATTTCAATAGGAGTCTGAGCCCTTCTCATGGAGAATATAAATGTCTCTTATTTTTCTTTACATATGAGAAGGAAGTGCCCATGGGGTTCAGAGTTTGTGTTCAGTGAAAAGAAAGGCCAAGAGCCAGAGTGCGCTCCCTTCAGAGCTGAAAGTTTTGTGTTTGCAGAGTCTTGCTAGAGCGGAGGAACGGATGTTTTTGATGAGAAAGCTGAGAAAACAGAAGTTGTGGGATTTGAACATCGCAGGTCACAAAGCAGATAGGAACATTTTCCAGAAAATAAATCATTATGAATTTTACTGGCTTAATATATACAGGAAAAAAACCATTTTGTCTGATTTATATGCAATATCCAAATAGTTTTAAAGGAGGTAGTTAGAGGATAAATACAAATTTAAAGTACAGGTATCGGTCGACTTACAACCTATGCAACTTACGACCATTCGACTCTACGACCACAATCGCTAGCCACGACTGCTCCGTGTCTGGCAGCGCAAATGTTGCCCAGCTGGGCGTACGACAGTGTGGACCAGCCTCTGGCAGCACCACCATCTCCGCGTGCACCGTTTCAACTGTACATAGAGCCTACTCAACTTACAACCAAATCGTGTTACGACCGTTTCACGGTCCCGACCGTGGTCGTAAGTCAAGCACTGGCTGTACAGGATACATGGCTCTATAAAACGGTATAAGCACGCTCAATTCCTCCTTTTACCGCTTTGAATGTCTAGTCCGCTTATTTTCTAATAATGGTCTCTCAGTTTATCCTCCACCATGTGATCTTTGTCATAAGCTGTCGTGGACTCGGATCCCTTCTTCATTCACTTTGATAAGGCTTCGTCCTCTGCCTCTGTCCCCAAAGTCAGGTCACCAACCCTTTAGGTTTCTTTAGGAGAATACGCCTGATGAGCTTCCAACAGAGATCGTCTCTCCACAACAGGGAAATTAATTATTGTTCAGGACAATCCTTGGTTTCCAAACTCCATCTTCTGAACCTAGGCCGGGTGCAGGGTTCCCCGACAGGCACCAGGCCTTAGTCATCCATCTCACTTCACTTCTTCCTTCTTTCATTCCAGTTTTCTCTTGGTATCTCTCAGTCTCTCAGCTGCTGAATTCCCTTTCTATAGTATAGGGAGAAGTGGAGAGGGTGAGAATACAAGGGAGGAGAGTGACAGGAAACAAGGGCTCCACCCCAGCTTCAGCCATCTCAAGTTGTCATAGGGAAGGTTTCTAGTGTCCACTCTCTCTCTCTAAATTGGGTAGAGGCAGAATGTCAAAGTGGGCAGAGCTCTGGAGGTGTAGCCAGGGTTTCTGCTGGTGAGGGCATCATAGTACAGTCAATGAGGACTTTTTTTTCTTCTTCTTTTTGAGACAGAGTCTTACTCTGTCATTTAGGATGGAGTACAGTGGCATGATCTCGGCTCACCACAACCTCTGCCAATCAGGTTCAAGTGATTCTCCTGTCTCAGACTCCCTATAGCTGGGGTTACAGGCATGTGCCACCATGCCCAGCTAATTTTTGTATTTTTAGTAGAAACAGGGTTTCACCATATTGACCAGGCTAGTCTCAAACTCCTGACCTCAGGTGATCCACCCTCCTTGGCCTCCCAGAGTGCTGGGATTGCAGGCATGAGCCACTGCAATGGGCTGACCTCACCATTTTGGACACTGGTTGTAAAGTCTGGTCTGTAACCTTAGAACTTTGCTCTCAAAGTGAAGGTCATAATTGCCCTGGTTGACCTGACTTTGAGAACCAAAATGCCTCCCTAGCACTGATCATCCTGTACTTTTCACTTTTCTTTTTGTATTTCTGTTTCCAGCTAGCCTGGCATCCACTCAAATTATCTTGACCCAATAGAGATTTATCGTAAATAGGCATTTGCGGTCTCATGAGGGTCCCAAGAATTGCATCATAATATGGGCCTTGTCCATCCAACATAATCAAAAAGTTCAGAATCTAGTTTAAAGAGAGTTCATTGAAGTACAAAGTTTAAGGACAGCTGCCTGGGAAGGACAGATTCTAAAAAATGGAAGTCAGTGTTTTGAAGCATGTAAGTTAGGGATCATTTATATGAACAAAGTTCAGGGAAGTTTAACAGAGTTTCAGCATCTCTCGTAATGCATGGTTATAATGATCTGATTAGCCGAGCTGGTCTTTTTCTTTCAGGAAACGTATGTTTAACATTCCACACTGAAGGTGTCACAATGACATTGGATACGTAACAATCATGAGCCATCTGGTCTGAGTTAGGTACAGGACAGAAAGGAGGCAGTTAATCTATAACATAGATCCATCATTAGAAAGGGGAAAGGTCTGGTCTCTGGTCTCTCCTAGTCATTTGCGAACAAGAAAAATGAGGAAGAGAGTTAATCTATAATCTAAGAAGTAGAAGCTGCAAACATAGTCCAAGTGATTCAGTCTCCAGGGCTTAACTTCCTCCTGGACATAATACATTGGGGTCTTGAAATTTTATTTTCTTTTATTGCCATATGGACCCAGGAAGAATGGCCGAGGATCCAGAGCAGCTTTGTAAGTCAGTAGAGGAGTTTATGGATCTTTTCTTATTTTCAACAGGAAGAATTCACCTCTTAGTTTTAAACTGTATTTTTTCTTTCAATGATATAATGATCTCTTTGGCTCCCTCTGTTATAACTTTCCTGATATAACTACAGCACTAATTTAAAAAATCCTGTGTCCAAGCATCTGATGACTTATTATAGTCCATTGGACCAGGTCGATGGCCACTTTCTGGGTCAGCTCCTCTCGGGCGCATGCCCATCTGTAATCTTATCACTTATGACAAGCGGAAGGAAAAATTATACCTACCACATCCTTCCTTTTAGCCTGCGAATGCCTGAGGGAGCAGCTCGTGGTGCTCCCAGGGTTTCACAGAGTGCTGACCTCTAGTAGGTACTCAACAGTTACTATTAGGTAGAATGATATTCTTTGCAGATTGGAGTTTTTTTAGGTATTCCTCCTGTTGAAAGCAGTTCTGGGGTATGCGTGAATTTCTAAAAATGGTTTTATAAAAGGAAAACATTTGAAACAGAGGATCTAATCTGAATGTTTCCATACATTCAGGTGATTCCATTCTTTTTATAAAGCAATCCTCACTTCTTGTAAACTTTCTATTTATCTCATTTTGGAGGTAGAAAAAAGATATTTTACTGACAGAAATAAAGATTTGGCATTTAGAACAACTGCATTCTGATGAAATCCTTTCATTTCTGGAAAAACCGGACTGATTATTTTACATACAGAGGTTTGGTTTTGTCGAGTACAGAAATAATAGTTCAAGTATTTCTATGAGGAACAAGAAAAAGAAAAGGTCTTATGACTTTTCTTTGCAGAACACCAAATTGACAGGTTGCCCCCACTCCCTACCAACTTAGCCAAAGTAGAAAAGAACATTGTGTAAACCTTTAGGGTTTAGTTCATAGCTGAGGCAATGAGCTCAGAGCTCTGCTTTTTGGTGGCTCCATCTGAACTGTCACCTCAGGAACGAACAACTTTCAAAACATGCTGTGGATCCGAAGAGCTTTGAGTGAAAGGAAGAAGATCAATAAATGGAAATGGATTCTCACTACTGGAGAAACAATCAGAAGTGCATGCCTCGCCAATGGTGGGTGGCAACACCATCCTTCTATGTGAAAAGCATCATAATATAGACGATTTCTTCTGGGAAATCGGTCATTCTTGAATTCTACCTTTTTGCCATCTATGTTCAAGGTGGTTTTAGGCGAGGACTATCCCCCAGAATTTTTTTTTTTTAAGTACATGTAACACACCATGGCTCTAGAAAAGTAAATCAATTATCAATTGTCAATTGCCAGGCAATTATCAACGTTGTCATGACCACACAATTCTGTGCTCATGTTTTTTGGCTGTAGTGTAATAGAGAACACATACCTTTGATTTTATGACAAAATCTTGAGTATTAATTTGTGTTTTATTATATGCAGGCTTATTGAGCAAATGGAGAATTATTCCTTGTCTTTGGGCAATCAATCAGTGGTGGAACCTAACATCGCGATACGATCAGCAAATTTCTCTACAGAAAATACGCCTTCACGTGTTCTTTTTTCTGTGAAGAAAGGTGAGCTGTTAATCTTGCGTGCTTGTAACGGCAAAGAGCATTCTGTTACCGATGATGAATAACGCTCTGCGCGCGATCATGCAGACTTTTAACGATTCTACTCTTTCCCTGCTCATAGGAGCTAGTGGTTCCCTGGTTTCCGGTTCAACACATTTAGAGACAGACGTGAATACCCTGAACCCAGATGAAAACACTGAACTGCAGATTTTGCTTAACATGAAAGAAGGTAGGTCTCAAACTTTGTTACATCAAAAAAGAATGGACTAGAATTCATGGAACTAAGAATTTCTAATTTACCGAGGAAGAGATAATGTCTACTTAGTTTGATACTGAATAATTCGCATTTGAGTATGTTTGAGCTCTGACATATTATGATAATCTCAACTCTACTATTCTAAGTCATAATTTCTTTTTCTTTTCTCAAAAACCTTTTGGAAAGTAGCAGAATTGAAATGCCCAGGCCATGTACACAAATATATTTTCCTGCAAAAAGCTTGCTAAGGTGGTTCTGCTTGTACATTTACACATTTAAAACATATTGAATCACAAGCTCTGACCATGATTACTAGTGGTATGACACTCTGAGGCTCAGATTCATCCTGCAGACCTGACCCTGGAAAAAGCTGTGTAATCGACACAGTCATTATTTAGTAGTATCGGTTTAGGTCACCGCCTCTCTGTGGTACTCACCGTGTGCTTACCACCATCCTGCATATAACCTTTCAGAAATTCTTACATGTAACTTGAAGTGGTTGTATTTTTCAAAGTCTAAAAAAAAAAAATAAGTAAATCAAATATATACACTTACTTTTCATTTCTTCTCAAACAAAAAAACCCAATGCCAGAAAGTATATGTGTTAGAATAAATTTATAATAGCGACTGAAAAAGAAGAGAGTATTATCTGTGAATCTGGCGCTCTGGAATTTTGCTCTCATTTGCTTTGGCCGCATGCTTTGAGATGGTAGAAACGAAATCTAAGTCGTCTAGGTTCTTCTGCATTTTTTCTTTTAATTTTAAAATACTTCATGCATACGGAAAACAGTACCTATGTACTTACTGGCAAAGTAAACTAATGCCAATTTTTGCTGTATTTGCTTCCGATCTCTAAAAAAGAGAGTGATGATATTACAGTTGCACCTGAAGCCCTCTACCTTAACTGTTCCCATTTCCCTTCCTTAGAAATTACATCTTTCTGAAGTTGTTGTGTATCATTTTCATGGCTGTGTTTAAACTTTTGTTGCATACTTATGCATCCATAAACAAAATATCCTATTTGCGGAGATGTTTTTAAATATTGACATAAATTTTATCCTGTTCTATAGAACTTTTAAACAAAAACTTACCCTTTTTCCAAGGTGTATCTGTGGGTTATCAAATGTATTAACTTTTGTCTAATTGATGATATGAAACATATATTGTTACTTTCCTTTCGCAACTTGAAAGTTCAATGGTACCATATGGTTGCTTAGTTTTTCTCTCCCTCGATTTGAACGTCTTTCCATGTGTTTATTAGACATTCAGATTTCCCACTCTGGGACTCACCATTTCCAACACTGATCATTTTTCCATTGGATAGTTTATCTTTTTCTTATTGGCCATTAGAAATTCTTTTTAAATTCTGAATATTAATTCTTTGTTGATTATATAAATATCTTCACTCCAGACTCCAGTTATCTTTCTGATGTTTTTAGTCACACCAAAACATTAATTCGTAGTGTATCAATGTACCCAATGTATCAGTCTTTTCTTGTATAATTGGTACTTTGTGTCTTTTTTATGAGTGATATTCCCTATTCTAAAGTCATCATAATGGTCTCTTACACTTTCTTCTGAACATATTTAGTGTTTGTATTTATATGTGTGTTTACAGTGCACTTAGAATTTATTTTTGTGTTTAGTAAAATGTACAAATCTAATTTTTTATTTCATGTAAATAATCAATATAGTCTAATGAATTAAAAACACTATTGTAGAGACAGAGAACCAGTTGGATAGAAAAGGACACATTTTTTATATTGATTAAAAAAACTAGTCTCCAGGCCAGGCATGGTGGCTCACGCCTGTAATTCCAGCACTTTGGGAGGCCAAGGCAGGAGGATCATGAGGTCAGGAGATCGAGACCATTCTGGCCAACATGGTGAAACCCCATTTCTACTAAAAATACAAAAATTCGCTGGGTGTGGTGGTGCGTGCTTGTAATCCCAGCTACTCAGGGGCCTGAGGCAGGAAAATCGATTGAACATGGGAGTGGAGATGGCAGACAGCCGAGATCGTGCCACTGCACACCAGCCTGGCGACAGAGTAAGACTCTGTCTCAGAAAAAACTAGTCTCCAAAAATATCTATTGTTTAATTACTTATTGTCCTAAAAGGCATCTCCAAATACATGGGGAATTCAGAATAATTCTCCATCAAGATATCCCCAAATACATGGGGAATTCAGAAAAATGCTATTATAGGGACAGATTTTAGTGCAACTATCCCAGAAATTGAAAATCAAGTAAGCAAAAATAATAAACTTGGCCTTTGTATATGCTCATGTGTATGTAATTTTGTTGTAGAAAGAGAACAGATAATAAAATTTCTTTAAAGATATCCATGGAGTATGTTAAAAACTGACCATTTACTAGTCCACAAAGAAAAACTTAAACATTTTATAAATTAGAAATCATATAGGACATAGTTGCTGACCACAATGCAATAAAACTAGAAGTGTACTTTAAAAGAATAGCTAAAATTCTATCCAATTAGAAAAATTTTAAACATCATTATTTTATTTATTTATTTTTTGAGACGGAGTTTCGCTCTTGTTACCCAGGCTGGAGTGTAATGGCGCGATCTCGGCTCACCGCAACCTCCGCCTCCTGGGTTCAGGCAATTCTCCTGCCTCAGCCTCCCGAGTAGCTGGGATTACAGGCATGTGCCACCATGCCCAGGTAATTTTTTGTATTTTTAGTAGAGACGGGGTTTCACCATGTTGGCCACGATGGTCTTGGCCTCCCAAAGTGCTGGGATTACAGGCATGAGCCACCGCGTCCAGCCTCTTAAGCATCATTATTAGAGAGAAAGTTAAACTGCAGATTACAAATTATTTGAAAATTAATGGGAATGAAAACATCACATTCACCTGTGGGATGTGGACAAAGAGGCATTTAAAAGAAAATGTATATCCTTTAAAAAATTATTATAAAATAAAATAAGTTGTTAAAATATATAAGCATTGGCTAAGGAAGCATGAAAAATGAAAAATCAATTCCATGAAAAGATGAAACAAGCTTCTGACAAATTGATCAAGGAAAAAAATGAGTGAGAGAATATAAATAAAGAAACATCAAGGAGGTGTATCTAGAAATATGTATATTCAAAAAAATTTTCAAGATAGTAGTAGATATAATTTCTTCTAATGATTCTGAGTATCTATAAAAATAATAATTTTCTAATAAATGATCAAATTACTGTAGAAATGAAGAGGGAGTGAGCAATACTCTAATTAAAAAAATCTTCTGTGTGATAGAATATTAATTCCTAATTAAAAAAAAAAATCTTCTAGCTGGGTGCCTGTAATCCCAGAATTTTGGGAGACTGAGGTGAGTGCATCACCTGAGGTCAGAATTTTGAGACCAGCTTGGCCAACATGATGAAACCCCTTCCACACAAAAAATTAGTTGGGCATAGTGGCAGGTGCCTATTATCCCAGCTACCAGGGAGGGTGAAGCAGGAGAATCGCTCAAACCTAGGACATGGAGATTGCAGTGAGCTGAGATCGTGCCATTGAACTTCAGCCTGGGCAACAAGAGTGAAACTCCATCTCAAAAAAAAAAAAAAAAAAAAATCTTCTATGGATTTGAATTTTACATCAAGCATGTAATTTTTTGATTTTTATCTTATTATTTTATTTTATTTTAGAGACTGGGTCTCGCTCTGTCACCCAGGCTGGAGTGCAGTGGTATGATCACAGGTCACTGCAGCCTTGACCTCCCAGGCTCAAACAATCTTCTTGTCTCATCCTCGTGAGTAGCTAGGATCACAGACACATGCCACCATAACTGGCCATATTTTTTTTTGATTTTTTTTTTGTAGAGATGGGGTCTCCTATCTTGGGCTGGTCTCAAACTCCTGGGCTCAAGCAATCTTCCCGCTGTGGCCTCCCAAAGTACTGGGATTACGGACATGAGCCATGCACCCAGCCTATTTTTTTTTTTTTTTTTTTTTGAGAGAAGGGTCTCACTCTGTTGCCCAGGATGACATGCAGCAGCATGATCACAAATCACTGCAGCCTTAACCTCCCAAGATGAAGCAATCCTCCAGCCTCAGCCTCCTGAGTAGGTGGGACTATAGGTGTGACCTTCTAGTTTTTTTGTTTGTTTTTTGTTTTTTTTTTTTTGTTTTTTTTAATTTTAAAAAGTTTTGGTAGAGACAGAATCTCACTATGTTGCTCAGGCTGGTCTCAAACTCCTGGGCTCAAGTAATCCTCCCGCCTCAACCTCTTCAAGTGTTGTGATTATAGCTGCGGGCAGTACCTCATCTCCTTTTATTTTTAAAGAAAGAATAAAAAGAAACCTTGCTGCATTTTTAGGGTTAACTTTCCATTTAGCGTACAGGAGAAACAATTCGGTGATGTCCATGTGGCCTGAACAAAAGTCAGCAACCCACCCCTTTCTCTCCAGGTGGAGGCTCCAGCGGCAGCTACAGAGGAGGACAATTTGGGGGCTTTGGGGCCTCCTATAGTTCCCTCTCAAATCACACGACCGGGTACTTCGGCTTCACACCACGGCGTTTTCCGTTTATCACTTGTGAAAGACAACAGAGTTTAGGAAAGTCATTCAGTTAAAGTGTAAACCGTCGATGCTTCTCCTGTTCTAGACATGCCGAGAGTTGTATGAAGTGTTAGGGCGCAGTCCGGTTCTCTGTTACCGCTGCCACCAAGGGGCCGGGTGCAAACCCCTCTGCAGCAGCCATGGTCTCTCAGGATCATTGAGGAACAGCTGCTTACTTTCTCCAACGTCTAGAAGATGTTTCACAGCAGCCTGTTAGCCTTGGGAAAAGCCCACGATTGTCATGACAGCAGGCGACGAGAGTTGAAGAGATCGTGAAGAGTGCCTACATCAAAAACTCCACAGAAAAAGTGACTTGAACTCCTTGCTCCGTGACTTAACACCACTGGTCCCCTTTGAACAGGAGACTGAGCTCAAGGGGTGCTTCTCTGGGCTCAGCTCTCCTGGTGTCCCAGCTTTGCTGTTTCCCTGTCTCGTACCCGTGGGGGAGGCGGCATGGGCTGGGATTACCGTATGTGGACTTCACTTTCTCCATCTCTCATGTATAAAGCAAGACGTTTACTTTACACGTGAGATCCTTGCAAGACCTTCTTGAGGTGGATCAGGCAGAATTCTGGGTCCTGTGTAGAAGGTAAGGAACCTGAAGCTCAGAAACAAAAACTGCTGTGGGTGAGTGGCCCACCATGGGTTATATGTGTTAATCACGTATTGCAATTAAGTAAAGTCTCAACCAGGGAACCATTGTTCCTGAACTTGACTCAGATATTAAGCAGCCATGTACTTCCACTGTAACCCGAGACCTTGGTTTTTGTTTACCCTACCGTTCGCTTATTGATTTTAACCTCATTTTCTCCCTGCAGGGCGAAACTCCACGGCATGTGGCTTTGTCGTTTATCAAAATGACAAGCTTTTCCAATCCAAAAGTTTTATAGCTAAATCAAGTTTTAGTCAAAAAATCATCTCAAGCAAAACTGACGGAAATGAGGAAGGTCAGAGTGCGTCTGTTGAAATGGCCTTTAGTCCAAAGGTGAGTTTTTCATTGCAGATGCAAGAAAAAAAGTGTCCTCATGCTTTCTGTCTTTCTGACGGTGGCAGCTGAGACTGAATAGAGTAATACAGGGGAAGAAGAGATTAGGAGGAATGGGGGGTTTTCCATGAACAGAAATAATAAAAATTCAGACCACTCTTGAATACCAAAAGCAGGGATATTTCGAGTAAAAGAAATCTACAGCAAAACTCTTTAAAAGATTCTTTGATGTATCCATTTAAGTATCTCTCCCAACCACATCTTTTGTCTAACTAACTAAATGCAAAGTTAACTAACTTATATCTTAGGTCTTTTTTCTCCTCTCTTTAATCTATAACGGATGTGCTAATGCTTAGTATATATTTAATTCATTTCTCAGACGACTGGCTTATACCACTTGATTTTAGCCCAATTAAGCATTTAGAAATAGTGATTGTAATCGTCTTATCAATTCACAGTACAACCGAGATGAATTTCAACTCAATTCCTATGCCTGTGTCTATTGGAATTTTGCAACAAAGGACTGGGACACACATGGCTGTCACAAACAAAAGGGCGCCGACAGATTTCTGCACTGCCACTGCAACCATACTACTAATTTTGCTGTATTGATGGTAAGCATGTACATAGTAATCTCTTTCCAGGCGAGAATCTTCCTCATACACAATTCTAGTATGTGCTCCTTGGAAATAACTTTGGGATTTAATTTACATAGATTCTCAACTCAGATTAAATAGAAAAACAGGAAATAAAACAATAGGACTAAAAAGTGAAGCGCGGGTAAAGGCAAGCAGAAGATAACTTTTTGCTACGTGTCTTAGGGTAGAGAAGTTCGCACTGTGTATTTGATCCTGGGAAGGGAGCCCATGTGCGAAGGAAAAGCTGATGAGCTCCATTCAACTAACTCCCATGCTCTGAAGCATAAAGTTGTTATAGCCAGGGGTATCGCTGTGTGTCAGAGACAGGTTCAATAACATACCTGTATGTGAATAGTTTAAATCAGTTACCCAAAGCGTTTGCCATTGAAATTGCCCAAGTTACTAAGTGTTTGCTAGAAGACATAAAAGAAAAAGCTCTTTAATTCCTTCAATCGGTCTTCTGCGGACCCTTGCAAGAAGAAGGGCTTCTGTATGATTTCTATTATTCCAGTGAAACAAAAAATGTTAGTTTATATGCTCGATGGAATGTTTTTTATACACAATGGAATGGGGAGCTATGGGAGAGTGTTCTTCTCCGTGGTAAGGGACGATGAATGCTGTGAATCGCCGAAGGAGAAGCAGGCGTTTTCATCCCGCAGTAGCTATAACATAGCCATATTTAGGAAGCCAGTGGCGATTGGTAGAACATACTGGATATGGCTTGCATTATCAAAGCACAGAAGCTTGCTTTGTAAAACTTTTTGAGATAACTGTAGTTTTCTCATTTTAATGATAAAAGCTCTATTATTTTAATTCCCTTGGATTACTTCTTTTGTACCTTGTATTATAGAGAGATCTCCTTTATCAATCAGGAGATATAGAAGAAAAGTTTAATTTTTTAATATCTTAAAGTCTTAGAATCATTGAATAACTATGTAAAGCTCAGGCTGTTATACATGTTAAATGATATGGATTGCTTTATTATAGTTATATTTTCCCTTTTTTGAGGACAGGCGTTAGCTATTTCTTCTCACTAGTATCTGACTGCCTCAATCCCTACATTACTACATTTGTAATTAGTTTTGGTTTGCAATATATATATTTTTAAGTGGCTGATGAAAATCGCATGTAAAGTAAGAACAAATTGGCTCTGAGTGAAGGGATTCTTTTTAAAATCTGAAGACCTATGAATCTTATGTTTTTTTGCATCTGTTAGCATACTACGCACAAGAAATAACGTAAAATTTTTGTTTTATTCTTTTTAAATCTGTATTTTGTTTTTATTTTATTTCTATTAAAGCAATACACAGTCATTGCATAAAGCATAAAAGTGTATAATAAACAAAAATATACTGATATGGAAAAATGTTTATGGAAAAGTAAAATGGCAGTTAGAGCATAATGCTATTATGTTAATGAACCCCTGTATGTTTGTGTAAGAGACATAGATAGTATTTTTTTATTTTTTTAACATATTTATTGAGATGTAAGTCATATACCATAAAATTCACCCATTTACACTGTATAATTTAGTAATTTAGTATATTCACAGAACTGTGCAAGGTTCACCACAAGCTATGTTTAAAACGTAATTGTCACCCCAAAAAGAAACCCCCATCAACATTCACAGTAATTCCTCATTGCTTCTGACCCTAGCTCTAGCAACCAAAATGGATTTTCTGTCCCTATAGATATGCCCATTTGGGACGTTTCATATTAACAGAATCATGCAATAAGTGATCTTTTGTGATTAGCTGCTTTCTCTTAGCAGAAGTGCTGTAAAGGTTCATCAGTGTTGTTGCATGTTTGGCTGTATGAATATGCCACGTTTTGCTGATCCATTCATCTATTGATGAACATTTGAGTTGTTTCCAGTTTTTGGGTATTGTGAACAATTCTCACGTGAACATTCATGTACAGTGTGTGTCCATATGTTTTTAATTTTCTTTGGTATATAGCTAGGGGTGGAATTGCTGTGTAGCATGGTAACTCTAACTCCGTGTTTAAGCTTTTGGAGAACTGCCAGCGTGATTTCCGTAGTGACTGAACTATTTGACACTCCCCCCAGTAATATATGAGGGCTTCAACTTCTCTGCATCGGAAAGTTTTATGGTTTTAGCGCTTAGATCTACTATGGTCCATTTTAAGTAAAGTTTTAGGTATGGTGGGAAGCGGGGGTCTAACTTCGTTCTTTTGTATGTGGCTCTCCAATTGTCCCAGTACCGTTTGTTGAGAATTGAGAAGACTTTTCTTTCCTCATAGAGAGGCATAGATAGTGTTTTTAAGCATGTAAGAAAAGATCGCCTCTGGAAAAATGAAAGGCTCTCAAGAGGTAGATATGGCGTGGGGTAGCTGGCAGTATATTATGCTTCTATAGTCCTTTCAGATTTTACAAATGATTATACATTGCTTTTCTAATTCTAACAATTAAAAAAATCAGAAAGTACAGATAAGCAAAATGAATTGTACCTATCCAACCCACCCTGTGACCACTGTTATTATCTCACCAGATTTCTAAGAGTACATACTCACATGGTATATATTTTCATATACATATGTACCCAAACATGTTGAGAACTATATAGATATATTACACAAAAATAAGGCTTCCTTTAAAAAATTAACAGGGTATGAGCATCTTTCCATATTGATGAAAATGTTTCTGCAACTTTATTTTTAGTGCATCAACTTAGAGTCCTGTTACACGTAAAAGTAATGTCATGGATAAGTGAGTTAACTTTGGACAGTTTAGATCTCATTCAAACAACTGTGATTTCAGACATCAAGGAAAAGTATAAATAGTTGACAGGTAAACAACATGGGTTGGAACTGTAGGGGTCCACTTAATCTGTGGATGTTTTTTCAGTAAAAAATGTCTGCCCTCCATCTGGGCAGCTTCTGCATCTGCAAGGAAATGTAGATGGAAAATAACACAGTATTTTCAGAGTGTAAAATTGGTATATGGAGGCCAGCTTTTCACATCTGCAGGTTCCACAGGACCGACTACAGGACTTGCATATGTATGGCTTTTGGCATCTGCAAGTTCTCCTGAAACCAATTCCCTGCAAATGCCAAGTTGTGACTGTATATTTTCCCCTAACTGCATTAGATAGATAATTATTCTTAAGCTAGATAACTATTCTCAAGCCTGTACTTCAGGTAAACTGCTCAGCAATTAGGGGTTGATGTGTTTCACTTTTAAATATGTCAAGAGCTTTACAAAAGAAAATACATCTGGTGACTATCTGGTTATTTTGGCCCATGTAACTCTGTGATGTTGACTTTCATTGATATTTCAGGGATGGTTATTTAAAAATATGGGTCTTAATTTGTTTTTCAGACTTTCAAAAAGGATTATCAGTATCCCAAATCACTTGACGTATTATCCAACGTTGGATGTGCACTCTCTATTACTGGTCTGGCTCTCACAATTATATTTCAGGTTGTTACCAGGTAAGACCAGAAGCAGGCTCCTTTTAGAAGGGAAGTTGCTATTCTGGTATAATTTACTCTGAGAATACTCATCAGAGTTACAGTGTCTTTGAACTAGAGGAGAACTGAGATTCAGTTCAATGTACTTATTTTACAGAGGAGGACACTCAGGCCTGGAAAGGCTAAGAAATACACACAAATAAATATGTAATTACAAATTGCACCAAGTGCCTTGGAAGAGAATTATATACCACTTATTTAGAAGTTTGTCATGGAAAATTAATGTGGTCCTGAAGCTCATTAATGCTATAATTCCTTAGTGTTGAATAGATCTGTGCCTATCAGTTTGTATTTGTAAACGAAGGAGACATTGTTACACAGCAATTTTTTACAAAAATAATTTTTAAAATAAGCTTTCAAATGGTGAAACATTTTTCAAAAACATATAGTTTTCAAATGGTGAAAGTTTTTGAATCCCATAAAGTCTAATTTTAAATAATGACCTATAAACAAATACCTCTCTCCACCTTGACCCCTTCATTCAAGGTCCAATTTTGCATCCCAGTCGTTATTTTTGGTCACATGCTACATTTTTTAAACTGCCTGCCATCTTTTAGAAGCTTGTTCTTTTATTAATTTACTTATTTACTGCGTCTTTCCTCTGTCAACTTCACATTTCATGTTTATTTGGTCTTCCATGACACTGAATTTTTTTCAAGAATCCGGGCCAGATATTTTGAAAAATGTTCCACAATGAAGATTTGTCGGAAATTTTCCTCATGATGAGATGCAGGTTAATTATTTTTGGTGGGAATACTGCAATCATGGAATTTTTTTCAGGGTGACACAAGAAGGCACATCAGTTTATCCCGTTATTGTTGACTGTAAGTTTGATTCCTTGTTTAAAGCGATTATCTGCCAGATTTCCCCGTTTTAAAGGTTCGTTTTTTCCTACGTAGATAATAGGTGACTTGTGGGGTGCCACTTTGAGACTGCATGATATCCTGCTTCCCCCAAATTTTTTACTCAATTATCTTGTCATCCATTACTGATCCTTATTGGAACAAATTATTACATTAGTAGTTGAAAAATGCTGATTTTCTAGTCTATCATTGTTTTCTGTATTTCTCTGCCACACTTTTTTGTAAAAAGCGTCCTTGCCAATGTCGCCAGAGGGCGCCCCGTCACGTTGTTTTATCGTGTCTCGGTCTTTAATCACTTCCTTATTCCAATCGCAGCAAGATGATCACCTTTCACTTTCTCTGCCTCATTTCTCCAAAGACCCAGAATTGTTTTTGATTCTCATTTCTCCAAAGAGTCAGCATTATTTTTGATTCCTTTTTTTCCCCCCTTTTCACATTAAATGAGCCTCTTGCCATTCATTTAAAAATGTTATAGTGAATGCTTGTGATGTAAGGAGCTGAATACAAAACTGTGAACAATCTCCTACCTCTCATGAAATATACATTGTTGGGGGGAGAAGGCAGCCGTTGCGAAAACATATACACAGATGAATATGTAGTTACATATTGTGGTAAGTGCCTTGAAGGAAAATTACATGCCATGTAACTACATATTTGTCATGTAAAATTAAATGCCTCTTATATTATCTCATTCTTTCTATTTCTACCATCATCGCAGTTGATCTGACAATTATTTGGTCCCATAGGGATGAGTTATAGCTGCTGCATAACCAGTTTCTTTGTTCAAACCTCACCCCTTTCATTTGTCATCAGATATTTTTCCTCCTTTATCAATTTGTTTTCTAGCACAATTATGTAACCACAGATGCCACTAAAGTTCATCAGGAAACAAAAACAAAAATAAAAGCCAGACCCGAAGGCTCACACCTGTAATTCCAGCACTTGGGGAGGCTAAGGCAGGAGGATTGTTTGAGCTCAGGAGTTTGAGACCAGCCTGGGCAATACAGCAAGATCACATCTCAAAAAACTTTTATAAAAGAGGGAAAAAACAAAACAAAAATAAAGACAAAATTTTATTGATTTTAAAATCCTGACCTATAAAATTTTCTTTGTTCGTGGACAGGTCCCCATATAATAATAATGCTCAGAATACAGACAGTCCCCTATTGACCATAGTTCAACTTAACAGTTTTTCAGCTTTAAGATGGTATGAAAGTGACAGCATTCGGGAAGTTTCGTGATTTATGATAGGATTATGTCCCAAGAAACCGATTGTAAATTGAAAATATGGTAAGTTGAAATGGTATTTTGAGTTTTAAAGGTAAATTACATTGAAAAACTCAAGAGACTTTTTCTCTACATTTAAACATGAGTTTGTCTGCTAATGTGCAGAATTTTCTATTACAAAATTTTAAAAATCCATATAGGGCCTCTTCTACAGATGGCCTTCATATAAGCTTGCAAATCTAGAGTAGAACTCATTACCTAGTGCTGTATAAAAAACGGTCCCAAAACCCAGTGGATAGGAGCAGTTATTATTTCTAATGATTCTGTGGCTTGCCTGGACTCAGCTGGGAGGTTTTTCCACTGGTCTTGCTGGAGTCTTGAAGTCAGATGGCGGCTGGGCCAGAGTCATCTGGAGGTTCACGTAGGATGCTGGGGCAGCTGGGTCACTCTCCCTCTCCATATAGTCTAAGAGGAGTTGCTTGCGGTTCTTTTCAGCAAGGTGGCTGGGCTTTTACACAGTGACCCAGAACTCCCACGAGCACACAAGGAAAAGCTGCCAGTGTGGCAGGACTTTCTCCGGTATCACTGTTGTAGTTCAGCTCAAAGCTGGGTTCTTGTCATATGACCATGAAATATTAGGCTCGCAGACACTTTGAAGGGTGAGAAGGACGGGGTTTATTGAATGATGAGGGAAACAGGGACTCTCAGCAAAGTGCGAGTTCTGCCAGTAGGCTCCTCGCCCCTCACCCCTACACGGATGAATCCTGGGTTCCCGCCCCGGGAGAGGAGAGGCCAGGCTCTTCTCCGCTGCAAAGGCTCCTGCCGGTTCCCCAGTGTGCAGGCCAGCTGGCGATTCTCCCGAGACCCCTTTATACTTGGGTGTCTCACCAGGAGGGCCGTGTTGTGACTTTTATGCGTCCCAGGCACTTGTGCCTTTGTGGAACCTTTCGTTTTATTAATGAAAGATTAAAAATAATATTTTATGATTCGGTTGGTACAAAGATGAATATATTAATATTCTTTGAGACGAGTCCTCTTTTTTCTTCCATGTCTAAAAGAAGTTAAAACATTGCTATGGGTCACACACACTAAGCACTATTGTGTCTGAAGGATCCGCTGGCGTTGGCTGCCAGGCCTTTTTGTTCCACCCTATCAGTTAAATCAGGGCACAGGCCAGGCCTCGGACCTACCAGGAAGCAGGTTCACTGGGAGCCGTCTTTGGAGACCAGCGATCACGTTTGATTAGAACACAGTTTCAGGACGACACCCAGCCCTCTCCGCGTCTGCTAACGGCCTTATCGTTCCGGACGCCTCACTCAGCATCGGCTTCTCCATGCGGGCTCCCCTCACCCACTTCTGCGTTCTGCTTCCAGATCTAGATCCAGCACTAGACTGTGCACTGTCAGCACTAAACCATGCATTTGAACCCGCCAAAATTTTAAAAGAATCCCGCCGTGCCTTACCCAATGGCAGCTTGCGCCATGCATCCTTAGCCAGCCCGCCCCCAGTAAGTCCCACCTCCCCGCCTCCCGGGCCCTGCCTCCCTACCACTAATGACATTGCCGATGCTTTGTTTCCCCAATAGCCAATCGATGGCCTCTAACCCTTATAAAACCCCCTGCCCTGAGAAGTTAAGTGCGACTTCTCTGGCCCCATCCCGGACCGTAGAACCTCGCCCGGGAGCTGAATAAATTGGATTTTCATTTTCATACGCTGGCCTCAGTTTCCTCATTTCGACTCGGCAATATACCTTACACCTTTAACTCCTGACTTTGTGGAAATTGCGAGTATGTTTTCTGACGTAATTGAGAAGTCGGATTTACCAGCTGTCCCCACTGGGCCGTGAACTGGACTTGCATTGGGCAGTCATAGCGTTTGCTCCCTAGACATTGCACTAATGTTTGTTTTGTGCGGTTGTTTTGTTTCATTTCATTTTTAAAAAATATTTATTGTTTATTTGTTTTCAGGAAAGTCAGAAAAACCTCAGTAACCTGGGTGTTGGTCAGTCTGTGCGTATCCATGTTGATCTTCAACCTCCTTTTTGTGTTTGGGATTGAAAACTCCAACAAGAACTTGAAGACCAGTGACGACGCCGAAAATACGGACGTTACCGATAACGTCATACCCAAGACCGACACCGTGAGCACCCCGAACCCCACGTGCACGGCGGCTGCCGCCTTGCTGCACTATTTCCTGCTGGGGACGTTTACCTGGAACGCGCTCAGCGCGGCTCAGCTCTATTTCCTCCTCATACGGACCATGAAGCCGCTTCCTCGGCATTTCATTCTCGTCATCTCATTAATTGGATGGGGTAGGTGTTGGCGTCTCCCCTTCCTCAGGAATTTGATTTTGTGGAAATCATTTAATTTAAAGAAACACTTATTGAAGGTCTGATAGTCCAAGGCCTTGACGTAATCAAGAGGAGAATAGAGCAATCACACAGGGATTGCTAAGAATCGTTTCTGTCTAGTAGCTTTTACTCCAGTGAAGGAGGCTGATGTGATCGAGGCAGGAATAGGACACTCGTCATAAACCAACGTAACTCACTTGAAATTGTTAACTGCCCTAAATATCTCTTTTTATTAATTTGATTTAAGGTTTAGGCCACACATGATTAACTTCCAGCTATTTTAAAGGAAATGTTTCAAGAAAGACAATCACAGTGACTCTATAAGCATAAATATGTGAAAAATGTGTTGGGTTCCAGCAAAGGAAGACTTGCTTTAGGGATATCTAAATTTAAATTTATTCAAGTGACAGAGAAACTATGCCACTAAAAGTGAAAATAGTGGTAAGAGTTACAAAGAAACCGGAACTAGGATTGATCTGTAGAGCCATCTAAGGGAAAGGAAAACCCTTGGAGAAAAATTATGTCCACTGTCAACCTGCATATGTAGGATCACTTTGTATTATGTCCATAGTGAAAACAACATATATCCTGAAGAGGGTCAGATGTATAATTCATGTATGGTCTTTTATAATTAATCCAACTCTGGATACATTATTAATTCCATGCCTCTCTTTATCACATAGGAGTCCCGGCTATAGTAGTGGCTATAACAGTGGGAGTTGTTTATTCTCAGAATGGAAAGAATCCAGAATGGGAATTAGAATACCGGCAAGAGGAAATGTGAGTTTGTATTTTTTTTAATGTCCAATTGTTTGAACTAAGAATGTAACTGTTCAGTGATACTGACTCCAAGTGTCACTATAATTTGCATTTCACTGTATAATTGTCATGGCTAGTGGTAGACATTTCAAATTCTCAAAGAACACATTATATTTTTCAAATGATGACACGGAAATCTCTCATGATAAGTCCTTTTGTAAAGCAAGTAACCAATTTCAAAATTTATAAATGTGGACTTCCTTATGTTAAATTTGTCTTCTTTCATTAAATCTGAAAATCATGATGTAATAGGTATGATCCTTAGTAACTCTCTTTCTTAGTTTTCTTAGCTAGAAAATGGGAATAACAATAGTAGCAATTCCTATTTTGGGATTACTGCAAGGGATCAATCAAGTGTAAAACATTTAGTGACATGAAGAAGACGCCCTATGTGTCTCACTCATATAAATCAATTCTTTGTTGATATGATTATGATGACTATTTCATGATGATTCATCACATATAACAAAATTTTACGGTGACTCCAGTGTGAATAATTAACTGTTGTAATAGAAGCATCTGACTGTATGGCATTTGCTTTTTATGGGTGGGTGCGAAAAGAAAGTGGAACTGAACTGAGACTCAACTCTTTATACACATTTCTGCTACCAAATGGTAACTGCTCTTCAATTTATCTTCCCTTCTCATTTTATACATCTAACTATTCTTATTTCCAAATTCCACCTAAAGTTCCAAACCAACACAAATGAAAGCAAAACTTCTGGAAATGGGCAAGGACTCCAAGGGAAGGCTGTGGTGTCAGGGAACTCACCTCTTCCCCAGGACTGACGGTGCCCAACTGTAGGCTGCAGAGCTGTCTGCCTGGTTTTATTTCATGGTCCCAGACAGTACTTTCTCTCTGTTTAATTATGGTTTAATATCTTTTTAGGTTTTAAAATTTGAACCCCACAATTAGAAATATCTAATTAGAGATACCCAAGAGGCAAATATCTCATGGGAGAGGTAATAATTCAATTCAAATTCAATATTAAATGGTCTTAACCCAGGCACAGGGCTAGACTCACTCCTTTAAAAGTCTTCAGGAAAAAGAAGCCAACCGACTTAAATTTATTCACACCGAGCTATAAATAATTAAGAGCAGCTCCTTCCCTGACTACAGCGTTAGTTGCTGGGGAAGATACGAGCCAACCGATAATAAGAGAAGCTAGGGAGAGAGGAAAGGATGGGTGACTTCAGCATCTGCCTCCTCCTGGACTTTCTCCCCTTCCACCCTACACACATGCCATCAAGGGCTGCATTTCTTCAGGATGTATTGAGAACCAAGAGGGATTATCTGGTTTTCCTGAGTTATCCTCCTAGCAATTGCTCCTCAAGAGCCTGTGCGCTCACCCGTTGCTCCCAGTTCTGCCAATCATCCTGAAACCCCGACCCACTTACTTGAGGTACTGCTGTCTCTGCATAGACCCAGTTACAGGGTGAATGTAGGGCAGGTCACATTCCTTTTTAACGCTCTACCCCTAGTTCTTTGTACCGCCACCACGTAGGCCATTTCAGACATTCCCAAAGGGTTGGAGTTACCATGGGAAATTATAATTAAGAGGAAATTTACAAGTATTGCTTTTATGATGAAGCTGTCTTTCTCCGTGTCCCACGGCAAACTTACCAAGGAGTTAAACGCATCATCTACATCTAATTATGATGGTCTCCAGACCTCAAGTCCGTAACATTTGTCAGATCAACCTCCAATCATCCTGAAGATAAACTTGGCACTGTTTTATTTATGGATGGACTTATTATTCTGTTAGAGGCAAGAATGCTTTTCATTTTTAAATTCATTATAGAGATTTGAACATCATTTCAGTATCCCCCTAGGTCATTCAGATTAGAAGTATGATTTCTAACAATTTAAATTAACACCATTCCAATGCAAAAAAACTTTAGAAATCCTTTGGAATGTATAATAATGACGTTTTACCTCCAAGGGAAAGAAAATAAAATTAATTGAATACCAAATATGTACCATAGCTTTTCACATCATTGTAATACCCAACGGCCTACCTGACACCTCCACTTGACTGTTTAATAGACATCTCCTCAGCTTTCCTCCCAAACCTGCTCATCTCATCGTCTTCCCAGTTAATAGTAATTCTACTCTTCTAGGTGCTCAGATTTTGGAGTCATCCTTAATTCCCCTGCATACCACATCCAACCCATCGAAAAATGCCTTTGCTTTACTTTTAAATATATCAGGAATCAGACTATTTCTTAACATGTCCTCTGCTGGTCCCATATTATTACAATAGCCTCCTGGCTATTTGGTTGGTGCAAAAGTAATTGTAGTTTCTGCCATTATTTTTGCACCAACCTAATATTTCCTACTTTTGCTCATACTGTTTTCTCATGACTGTACCTGGACTAATGCTTTCAAACTCAAGACAGATCATGTCATGTCTCTCCCTCTTGCTTAGGGTACAAGCAGTCACCCACAAAGCTCCTACACAATTTGTATCTTTCCACTAACCTTATCCACTTACTGTGGTTGAGCCACACTAGCCTTTCTGTTATTTCTTAAGCTGTCGCCTCAGGGCCTTTGCACCTGATGTGACCTTTGCCCGGAACACCCTTCTCCATCATCGACTTCAGGTCTTTGGTCAAATACAGCTCTTTCTCCATGAGGCTTTCCCTGACCACTCTATTTAAAATGAAACAGCCCTTCCCTCCACACATACACACAGTAATCTCTACTCTCATGATGTGATTTACTGTTTTTCCATGGCATTTGCCACCATCTGACGTATTATATATTTTATTTACTTTATCTATTTCTCTGGACTAGACTGTAACCTCACTGAAGAAGGGATTTTTGTTTTGTTCACTGCTAATACATTGGTGTCTAAAACGGTATCTAGCACATAGTATGTACTCTGTAAATATTTATTAAATGAATGAATTCTTTCAACAATGCCAGTCAGTAGGGTTACTATTATTCTCATCTCAGAAGAGAAAAAAAACACCACAACACCACCACCAAAGAAAAAAACCCCACAAAACAAAAACAAAACAAGTATAATGAGGTTAAATAACTTTTTCAAACTTTTTTTTTTTTTTGAGACGGAGTTTCACTCTTGTTACCCAGGCTGGAGTGCAATGTCGCGATCTCGGCTCACCGCAACCTCCGCCTCCTGGGTTCAGGCAATTCTCCTGCCTCAGCCTCCTGAGTAGCTTGGATGACAGGCACGCGCCACCATGCTCAGCTAATTTTTTGTATTTTTAGTGGAGATGGGGTTTCACCATGTTGACCAGGATGGTCTCGATCTCTTGACCTTGTGATCCACCCGCCTCGGCCTCCCAAAGTGCTGGGATTACAGGCTTGAGCCACCGAGCCCATCCTCAAACTCTTTTTAAACGTTGATATTTTTAAAATGCCCATCAATAGGAGACAGTTTAAAGTTATGGTATATTATTTCACTTTTCTAGTGGGTAGAATTCTTGAAAGTCATCTCAAGTGTATAAAGTGCCAAGGGATGCTAACTTTTAACAGATCTTTTAGTTGAGTGAATGTCAATAAAGTTAATAGCACAAGAAACCAGTATGTATACCTTTCTTAGTCTGCTGAAATAATTTTTTTTTCCTCCACAGCTGCTGGCTGGCAATTCCAGAAAGCAAAGATGTTATAAAAAGTCCATTGTTATGGTCATTCATCGTACCAGTAGCCATTATCCTCATCAGTAATATTGTTATATTTATTATAATCTCAATCAAGGTGTTGTGGAAGAATAACCAGAACCTCACAAGGTAAGGTTCCCAATGAATGGGAAGCTGCCAGGCAAGGCTCATCCAGCACTTAACACAGCTTCATAACGCAGCTACAGTTCTAGGAGCTTTCAAACCCAGACACCGGCAGGGCTATGTGGTTTGCAGGAGAGATTTGCTCTTACACTTTGACTGAGAAAGTAGATCTTATCATGTTCTCACATCAGTATAGTCCACTCTCAATATCCTGGGTTTCCACATCCGTGGGTTCAACAAAGAAAGGATCAACTAAAAACTAAACCCAGATTGCAAGAAAAAAAAATTTTTCTTTGCTTATCCTAAATATTCAAGAAATCATATTTGAATAATTAAAGAAATGAGAGAGTTATGAGGAAATGCTGGTACTTGCTCATTTTATTAACATAATCCAGTACCTATTGGCTATATTTTACATGTATTGCTTGAATTGCACAATAGCACTGAAATTTCTTGTTTATTTTATTTTATTATTATTTTTTGAGACAGGGTCTTTGCTCTGTCACCCAGGCTGCAGTGCAGTGGCACAATCACAGCTCAATGCAGCCTCGATTTCCTGGACTCAGGTGATCCTCTCCTCTTAGCCTCCAGAGTAGCTGGGACTACAGACATACACCACCATGCCCAGCTAATCTTTTTCTTTTCTTTTTTTTTTTTTTTTTGAGACAGAGTTTCACTCTTGTTACCCAGGCTGGAGTGCAATGGTGCGATCTTGGCTCACCGCAACCTCTGCCTCCTGGGTTCAGGCAATTCTCCTGCCTCAGCCTCCTGAGTAGCTGGGATTACAGGCACGCGCCACCATGCCCAGCTAATTTTTTGTATTTTTAGTAGAGACGGGGTTTCACCATGTTGACCAGGATGGTCTCAATTTCTTGACCTCATGATCCGCCCACCTCGGCCTCCCAAAGTGCTGGGATTACAGGCTTGAGCCACCGTCTTTTTCTATTTTTTATAGAAATGTAATCTCTATAAAAAAGAGGCTGGTCTTGCACTCCTGGGCTCAAGTAACAGCTCCACTTAGTGTGACCAGATGAGTAAAAGCCACCATCTTTAGTGGGACTATATCTTTTTATTCTTTTAATGTTAACATTTTATTTAAACCAGTACAAGCACCATGCTTAACAAAAGACTGTCCAAAATTGCCATGCAATATGAACTAGCAGAGACTGAAACTACAGCTTACGAAGCTGTGCCAGTTCTTGGTTTTGTTGAACGATGACAGAGAACAATGTTTCAAGCCTCCTGAATGAGATTTTATTTGACCATCTAAATCAATGGGAACTGCCCTGGCATGTTAATGATCTCAAACAATATTCAAGTAATATATTTATATGAATTCTACTCCAAAAGCAAGAAATACATTACTGTATATGAACACTGATTTGAAATGTCAAGTGACATAATAAAAACAAATTTCTCAAGAACATTCAGCTTGGGACCACTGGTTTTAGGTGACCTAGAAGATTATTAGATTCTCCAGAAATATAAAATAAGATTTGTCCAGAAATGTTTGAAACACATCCTCACAAAAGTTGTAATGGCTCAAACTTTATAGATTCCAGCACTGTCAGGCTATTGAACAAATAGGGAAAGGAACCGTGGTAAGAATACTTGAAGTGTAGAATACAAATTACTCTCTTCTTCTGCCAAATATCAGCATTTAAACTCTTATGAAAATATTTATTCATCACTAGTCCACATATGGATTAATGACATTGCTCAGGTTTTAAAAGTAGTCCAAGCATCTTCTAAGTACACCTTCCTTAATATCAATATGGGTTGAGGGCAACAGCCAAATTTAATTTGGCAATAAACTCCTCTAACTGGAAACTTTTAGCTAAAGTGTCAGACAAGGATACAGTTTATGGCTACAGTTGACACCCAAAAATAGGAGACAAAAAGGGAGGGAAAAGTGCTGACGTGTATTTTGCCACACAGATAATTTAGTAATGACAGTAAAAAATTTAGCAACGTGCTCTTAAATAAGAATGTGTTTAACTACACTAGGCATTTAGTAAACATTTAGAACTAGACAATTTGAACATTTATTTTAGATGTCAGTTAAACAGTCAATCAACTTTTTTTCTAATATAATTGCATCAATACCAGAACAAAGCGATCACATTCAAAACTCAGACATTTTGGAATAGTAACCTGAGGAGTTTTCTTCATATGTATTTTTGTTGTCATGGAAACCACACTAAATAATCCTGTGATTAGGCCGGGCGCGGTGGCTCACACCTGTAATCCCAACACTCTGGGAGGCCGAGGCGGGTGGATCACGAGGTCAAGAGATCGAGACCATCCCGGCCAACATGGTGAAATCCCGTCTCTACTAAAAATACAAAAATTAGCTGGGCGTGGTGGTGTGCACATGTAATCCCAGCTACTCGGGAGGCTGAGGCAGGAGAATTGCTTGAACCCAGGAGGCGGAGGTTGCAGTGAGCCCAGATTATGCCACTGCACTCCAGCCTGGCACCTGGTGACAGAGCGAGACTCTGTCTCAAAATAATAATAATAATAATAATAATAATAATAATAATAATAATACTGTGATGACCAGTTGGTTCTATTTTGACATTAGATGCTATGTAGAACTTAATGCAGGGCTGACAATTTCAAAACTAACGCTGACTTAGAAGACCACAAAGCGGGGGGTCCCAGGAAAAAAGTTGCTGCCAAAAATGAAAGATTAAGATTTAAGGCTGAATGGGAACGGTTCAGAAAGATATGGAATGTAAAAACTGGAATTATGAAATCTGCAGTTATTATTTGGGGGATGGCAGCCAAAAGACACTAAATAGCAAATATACTTGACAAGAACATTGTGAAATTTAGTAAGACGAAGGGGAAATCTATACAAATGTTTGAGAACACTTTAGAGCATGGGATTTGTAAATCTCCCCATAGAACAGATGAAATAAAAATGTCCTGCTGATCCTCTAACCTCAATCTGTTGTCTTGCAAAAAAAAACATGTTATTGATTAGGAGTCAGACAAGCTCAAAAAAGCATGGTTTATCACACTCTTTGCTCCTGTTGAAGAGACTAGGGGAACTAAGAATTCGAATGTATGGGAGGTCAGTATTGTCTGACACTATGGAGGACCTCCAGATTTAAAAATAAAACTAAAACATTCAAGACAAAGTAAGAAACTTTATTAAAACATACATTTTGGCAATACTAGCTCTCTTATTGCTGCAAACCAGGTGAAACATTTCCTTCATTCAAAAACATTAAAAACACTCTCTACTCACTTGGATTATCTTTGCATTTCTACAGAATTATATGCATGTTATTGTCCAATATCAAAATACCCATTTAAAGAATTCTTAACCTTCCTGTGTGAGTTTGCTCTCTCTCTCTGGAAACTGGAATAAAGAATCTTTTCCCTCCAAGAACCATAACAAACACCTACTTTAGCACTTCCTCATCTCCAGCTAACTTTGTATTGCTTCCTGATTTCGAAATTAGTGAAGCCAAACAGTGTTGGGAACAGAAGATGTTCTATTCAATATCGTGAAAATTTCAACTATCTTTATTTCTCACAGACACCTCAAAAACAAAATGCAAAGAACATATGAATGGAAAACATGCCAAAATTTAAATTTTGTTGGTTTTGAGATGATTATGTTTTATTATTATTATTATTTTTTTTGAGACTGAGTCTTGCTCAATCTTGGCTCACTGCAACCTCCATCTCGTGGGTTCAAGTGATTCTCCTGCCTCAGTCTCCCAAGTAGCTGGGATTACAGGTGTGCACCACCATGCCCTACTAATTTTTGTATTTTTGGTAGAGACGAGGTTTCGCCATGTTGGTCAGGCTGTTCTGGAACTCTGGACCTCGTGATCCACCTGCCTCTGCCTCCCAAATTGCTGGGATTACAGGCATGAGCCACTGCATCTGGCCCAGATATTCTTAATAAAAGACACTCACCAAATTTCATTAGTCTTTAGAGTTTCTAGACCTATTATTAAATTAAGGTTCAATGGTTACTTATTTGCTTTTACAAGTATGCTAAATACCAGAATCCTTGCTTTATGCCAAGAATACCATCATCTGACAAGACTGGTTTAGTTAACTATTTAGGCATCCAGTTCAGAATATCTTCTGACATTTAGGATATAAGATGTGATTTCTACTGATGTGTTGACGTTATTAATATGGCCTAAGTTTTAAGATAATTTTTTTCCTATGGCACAAAACTAATCAGCTGCCATATATTCACCAATGCAAGCAGGTAGTTTAAATTTTTAAAATATGAAGTTGATTTTATTACAATTTTCATTCACTTAAGAAATAAAAATTTGTCCGGGTGCGGTGGCTCAAGCCTGTAATCCCAGCACTTTGGGAGGCCGAGGCGGGTGGATCACAAGGTCAAGAGATCGAGACCATCCTGGTCAACATGGTGAAACCCCGTCTCTACTAAAAATACAAAAAAAATTAGCTGGGCATGGTGGTGCGTGCCTGTAATCCCAGCTACTCAGGAGGCTGAGGCAGGAGAATTGCCTGAACCCAGGAGGTGGAGGTTGCGGTGAGCCGAGATCGCACCATTGCACTCCAGCCTGGGTAACAAGAGCGAAACTCCGTCTCAAAAAAAAAAAAAAAAAAAAAAAAAAAAAGAAAGAAAGAAATAAAAATTCCATTTCAATGAAAAAGTTAGTTCTTGAAACTTGCCTGCTATGGTATTAAGGAGTTGTGTTTGCCTGAACTTTTAAACAGGTATCAGTGTATTCTTAAATAAAGCTTGCAAAATCAGATTTTCTCCAGAGCGACGTAAGACTTAGCATCATTTTTATACCTGAAGCGTAATATTCTTAAATGAACAGTGTACATGGGCAGCTGAATATGCATTCTAACTAGGAGAGTAATAGTGACATTGATAAGTAAAAACCTAATGAACTACATTATTTTTCTTGTTTCCTGTCACCTAGCACAAAAAAAGTTTCATCCGCAAAGAAGACTGTTAGCACATTATCTGTTGCAGTTGTTTTTGGAATTACCTGGATTCTGGCATATCTGATGTTAATTAATGATGATAGCATCAGGATTGTCTTCAGCTACATATTCTGCCTTTTCAACACTACCCAGGTATGGTGTGGATTAGTTTGAAAGTAGCAGAACACGTAGTGGTGGAGATGATATTACCTTGACCCCATTGCTTAGTTACCTTTAAGAGAGTATTTTTAACAAATCTAGTGGTACATAGTAGGTGGGTATATTTATGAAGTAAAAGAGATATTTCAATCTTGGCAAAAATGTTTAATAATCACAGCAGGGTAAATGGAGTACCATCACCTCAAGCATTTACCCTTTTTTTGTGTGTTATAAACAATCCAGTTATACTCTTATTTAAAAATGGACAATTAAATTATCACTGACTATAGTCACTCTTCTGTGCTGTCAAATACTAGATCCTATTCATTCTAACTATGTGTTTGTACTCATACCCATGAACCATTCCCACTTTCCACTCTGCCTGCCCACTATCATTTCTAGCTTCTGGTAACAATCATTCTACTCTCTAGCTCCGTGATTTCAATTATTTTAAGTTCTTTAGCTTCCACAAATAAGTGAGAATATGCAAAGTTTGTCTTTCTGTGACTGGTGTTATTTCACTTAACATGATAACCTCCAGTTCCATCCATGTTATTACAAATGACAGCATCTCATTCATTTTTGTGGCTGAATAGTACTCCATTGTGTATATGTACTGCATTATCTCTATTCATTTGTCTGTTGGTGGATACTTTGTTTGCTTCCAAATCTTGGTTATTATGAATAGTGCTGTGAAAAACATGGGAGTGCAGATGTCTCTTCGATATGCTGATTTCCTTCCTTTTGGATATATATCTAGCAGTGGGATTACTGGATCATATGGTAGTTCAATTTTTGTTTTTTGAGGAGCATTCACGACTGTTCCCTATAGTGGTTGTACTAATTTACACTCCCACTAAGCGTGTATGAGGGTTCTCTTTTTTCCACATCCTCACCAGCATTTACTATTGCCTGCCTTTAGATAACAGCCATTTTAATCTGGGCAAGATGATATCTCATAGTTTTATTTGCATTTCATGACCAATGATGTTGAGTACCTTTTCATTTACCCGTTTGCCATTTTTATGTCTTCTTTTGAGAAATGTCTATTCAGATCTTTTGCCCATTTTTAACTGGTTTATTGGATTTCTTTCCTATAGAATTGTTTCATCTTCCTGCATATTCTGGTTATTAATCAGATGGATAGTTCACAAATGTTTTCTCCCATCCTATGGGTTGTCTCTTCACTTTGTTGACTATTTCCTTTGCTATGCAGAAGCTTTTTAACTTGACGTGATCCTATTTGCCGATTTTTACTTTGGTTGTCTGCACTTGTGGGGTGTTACTCCAGATATCTTAGCCCAGTCCCATGTCTTGGAGTTTTCTCCCGATGTTTGCTTTTAGTAGTTTCATAGCTTGAAATCTTAGATGTAAGTCTTAATCCATTTCAATTTGATTTTTGTATATGATGAGAGATAAGGGTCTCATTTTCATTCTTCTGCATATGGGTATGCAGTTTTCCCAGCACCATTTACTGAAGAGACTGTCCTTTCCACAGTGTATGTTCTTGGCATCTTTGTCAAAAATGAGTTCACTGTAGCTGTATGGTTTTGTTTCTGGGTCCTCTATTCTGTTTCATTGGTTGATGTGTCTGTTTTTATGCCAATACCACACTATTTTCATTACTATGGCTCTGTAGTATAATTTGAAGTCAAAGAATGTGATTTCTCCAGTTTTGTTCTTTTTGCTCAGGGTCGTTTTGGCTATTCTAGGTCTTTTGTGGTTACAATAAATTTTAGGATCATTTTTTCTTTTTTTGTGAAGAATGTCATTGGTATTTTGATAGGGATAGCATAGAATCTGTAGATGGATTTGAGTAGTGTGGACATTTTTGAAATACTGATTTTTCAATCCATGAACATGGATTTCCATTTTTTGTGTCCTCTTCAATTTCTTGCATGCAGGTTTTATAGTTTTCATTGTAGAGATCTTTCACTTTTTTGGTTAAGCTAATTCTAAGGTATTGCATTTTATTTGTAGCTATTGTAAATAGGATTACTTTCTTAATTTCTTTTTCAGATTGTTTGCTGTTGGCATATAGAAATGCTGCTGACTTATATATGTTAATTTTGTGTCCTGCAACTTTACTAAATTTTTGAGCTCTAATAATTTTTTTGTGGAGTCTTTAGTTTTTTCCAAATATAAGATCGTATCATTTTGCAAACAAGGATAATTTGATTTCTTCCTTTCCAATTTAGATGTCTTTCATTGCTTTCTCTTACCTAATTGCTCTACCTAGGACTTCCAGTACTATGTTGAATAACAGTAGTGAAAGTGGGCATCCTTGTTGTGTTCCAGACATTAGAGGAAAAACTCTCAGTTTTTCCCCATTCAGCATCATACTAGCTGTGAGTCTGTCATATACAGCTTTTATTGTGTTGAAGTATGTTCCTTCTACCCCTAGTTTTTAAGAGTTTTTTACCCTGAAGCGATGTTGATTTTTTTTTTTTTTAGCATCAATTGAAATGATCCTGTGGGTTTTGTGTTTCATTTTGTTGCTATAATGTATCACATTGATTGATTTGCATATGTAGGACCATCCTTGCATTCCTGGGATAAATCCCACTTTGTCATGATGAATGACCTTTTTAACGCGTTGCTGAATTTGGTTTTCTAGCATTTTGTTGAGGATTTTGCATCAATGTTCATCGGATACATTGGCCTGTAACTCTTTTCTTTCTTCCTTTTTATCTTTCTTTGTTTCTTCCTTTTTGTCTGCCTTTCTTTCTTCTCTCTCTCTCTCTCTCTCTCTCTCTCGCTTGTGCTCTCTCTCTCTCTCTCTCTCACTTTCTCTCTCTCTCTTTCTTTATTTCTTTCTTGTGTCTTTTTCTGGTTTTGGCATCAGGGTAATACTGGCCTCAGAAAATGAGTTTTGAAGTATTCCCTCTGCCTCTATTTTTTTGGAATAGTTTAAGTAGGATTGCTATTAGTTCTTCTTTAAATGTTTGGTAAAATTCAGCGGTAAAGCCACAGGTCTTGGGCTTTTCTTAGCTAGGAAACTTTTATTACAGCTTCAATCTCATTACTTGTTACTGGTCTGTTCAGGTTTTGTATTTCTCCATGGTTCAATCTTGGTAGGTTTTTTGTGTTTGGAAATCTGTCCATTTCTTTTAAGTCTTCCTATTTATTGGTGTATAGTTAGTTGTTCATAGTAGCCACTAATGATCCTTTGAATTTCTGTGGTATCAGTTCCTATGTCACCTTTTTCATCTCTGATGTTATTTATTTGGGTCTTCTCTCCTTTTTTCTTAGTCTGACTAAAGGTTTGTCAATTTTGTTGATCTTTTAAAATAACAACTTTTTGTTTGATTTTTTTTTTATTTCAATTTCACTTATTTCTGCTCTGATCTTTATTATTTATATTCTTCTACTAATTTTGGTTTTGATTTGCTCTTGCTTTTCTAGTTCCTTAAGATGCATCATTAGGTTATTTGAAGCTTTTCTATTTTTTTTTGATGTGGGCAGTTATTGCTATAAATTTTCCTACTACTTTCACTGTATCCCATGAGTTTTGCTGTGTTGTGTTTCCGTTTTTATTTGTTTCAAGACATTTTTAAACTTCCCCCTTAATTTCTTTCTTGACACACTAGTAATTGAGTAGCATATTGTTTAATTTTTATGTGTTTGTATAGTTTCTAAAATATATTTCATTATTGATTGCTAGTTTTATTCCATTGTTGTCAGGGAAGATACTTGATATAATTTCAATTTTTTTGAGTTTTTAAAGATTTGTTTTATGTTTTAACATATGGTCTGTCTTTGAGAATGATCTACATGCTGAGGAGAAGAATATGTATTCTGCAGCCATTGGATGAATGTTCTGTAATTATCTATTAGGTCCATTTAGTGTATAGTGCAGAGTAATTCTGATGTTTCTTTGTTGAACTTCTGTCTGGAAGATCTGTCCGATGCTGAAAATAGGGTGTTGACATCTCTAGCTATTGTCATATTAGTGTATATAATCTCTCATTAGCTCTAATAATATTTTATTTATATATCTTGATGCTCCAGTATTGGGCATGTATATGTTTATAATTGTTATATCCTCTTGCTGAATTGACCCCTTTATATAAAAAATGCAAAAGTACAGTGACCTTTTTTCTTTCTTTTTTATAGTTGTCTTGAAACCTTTTTTTTTTTTTTTTTTGAAGTATAGCTACTTCTGCTCTTTTTTGGTTTCCGTGGAATAATCTTTTTCCATCCATTTATTTTCAGTCTATGTGTGTCTTTGTAGGTGATTTGTTTCTTGTAGGTAACATATCATTGGGCCTTGTTTTTTTTTTCTTCATTCAGCCATTCTGTGCCTTTTGACTGTAGAGTTTAGTCCATTTGTGTTACTGTGTTCTTCCTGCGTTATTGATCCGTAAGGACTTACTTCTGCTATTTTGTTGCTTGTCTTCTGTCTCCTCTTCCTTCTTTTTTGTCTTCCTTTTAGTGAAGGTGGTTTTCTCTGGTGACATATTTTAACTCCTCACTTTTTATTTTTTGTGTGTCTATTGTATGTTTTTTGATTTGAGGTTACCACAAGGCTTGCAAATAATATAATTTTATAAATTATAAATTATATTTAAAAATTATATAAAATATAATACTATAACATAACCCATTATTTTAAGCTGATGATAACACTGATTACATAAACTAATGAACAAGCAAAGAGAAAACTAATAAAAACTCTATAACTTTTGTTTTTCCTTTTTATATCTTATACTGTCTTGAATAGTTGTTATAATTATTTTGATAGGTTCATCTTTTAATCTTTCTGTTCAAGATATAAGTAGTTTGCACACCACAATTATAGTATTATACTATTCTATTTTTTTTCTGTGTACTTACTAATAACAGTGTGCTTTGTACTTTAAGATAATCTCTTATTGCTCATTAATACCCTTTTCTTTCAGATTAAAGAACTCCTTTTAGCATTTCTTGTAGGACAGGTCTAGTGTAGACAAAATCCCTCAGCTTTTGTTTGTCTGGGAAAGTTTGTATTTGTA